TCATTGCTTACACAGCAAGTTGTGAGCTAGCCTGGGACACATGAGACCATGAGCAGGCAACATTTAGTAGTACCTTCCTCTTCTACTTTAGTGTGTCCTTTGGATACAGATCAACCATTCTTGCTTCCTTCCTTTCTCCCTCCCTCCCTCCTTCCCTTCCTCTCTCCTTTCCTTCCTCTAAAGTTTATGAATGTTTTGTCTGCATGTACATGCAAAGCCAAGAGAAAGACAAGAGTATTGGATCCCTAGAAGTGGAGTTACAGATAATGTGAACCGCGAGGTTGCTGGGAACCCAAGCCAGGTCCTTTGCGAGAGGAGCCAGGGCTCTTAACTGCTGAGTCATCTTTCCAGCCCCTGGATTACAGACATTCTTATGTGTCCACCATCAGAAACAGACTTTGGACAACTGTAACTGGTTTGTTAAACATTGACAGAGCGCAGGACCCACGAGGACCCGTTTCTTCCAGAGCACCTCACTTTACAGTTAGTGCCTTGCGGGGGTGATCTCCTCCTTTTCTAAGTATGGTGGTTAAGGCCTGGCTGGACATCACTAAACTGTGTTATCTTCTCCCAAGGATTTCAAAGGAAATACTTCCTCCTTTTGAATAGTGTACCTTGACCATGAGTGGAATATCATCAAAGTGTTGGGAATGGGCTAAGAGCAAAATCACCTTGAAAACTCAGTTTCCTAGAGCAAGAAAATAATTATCAGAAATGTCAAGACAGTGTTTTCTCCAGGGAGGAAAGAGTTAATGATTAAAGAGAGAACAAATGGGGGTTTTAACTCTTGCCTAGCTAATAGGATAAGATGTTTTTGAGTCTACCATATGTTTTTAAGTATTCATATTATTCTTCTTTATCATTGTGTGTGTGTGTGTGTGTGTGTGTGTGTGTGTGTGTGTGTGCCTGTTCATATGTATGAGTACAGGTAGGAGCAAGTCAAGGCACGTGCACAAAGGTCAGAGGACAACCATGAGTCCCACCTTGGTTGGGACTTGATCTCTCACTGTCTGCCACTGCAAATGCCGGGCTAGCTGGCTTATGAACTTCTGAGAATTCTCCCATCTGTATCCCCCACCTCAGTATAGGAGCACTGTGGTACCATCGTGCTGAAATACAATCCCTCCATGCATGGAAACCCATCTGTTTGGCTGTGCTTGCCTTATGACAACACTGTCTAGGCTTGACTGTGGAAGAAGTTGAGCTTCAGAAGGACGAGAGAAATCCAGGCAAACAGGTCTCAGACACATTCAATTAGTCATGGCTCTTTTGCTTCTCTCTCTCTCTCTCTCTCTCTCTCCATATATATATATATATACATATATATATGTATATGTGTATATATATATATATATATGTTTTAAATACAAAGAGCTAGAATGGTTTTATTTGCTGTATGGCTGGTATGACATTGATCTTGATTATCAACTTGACTGCCCTGAGAGATGCATAGGACTCCTGCAATACATACCTCTGGGTGAACCTATGAGGGCATTTTCATAAAGGATTGGTATCCAATGGGCTGGGAACCCAGTTGGGATAAATGTGGAAGGAGACAAGGCCAGCCAGTATATGCAGCACGCTCCATTCAGAGCCAGTGTGTCTATGTGTCTATTATTGCTGCCATCGTCCTGGATGTCAGACTCCAGCTTCTTCATCCTTTCGATATAGACTCCCACCAACAGCTCTCCAGGAAGCTTCTGGTCCTTTAGCTGTGGATTGGACCACATCACTGTGCCCCCTGTTCGAAAGCTTGTAGCTTCTCGAGACTGTACAGCCACTGGACTGTCTATCTCGCTACCCTGCAGGTGGCCACTGAGGGACTCAGTCCCCATCACATAAGGTAAAATAAAGCTAATATCCTTCTGGCTTAGTTCTAAGATATGGGAGCCCTCATTAGTGCCAATGGCATGGATAATCCATTCAAGACAGGTTCTCAGTTCGACTCAAGAAAGCCCATTTCAGGACAGGTGTCAAAGCCAACACCATGGTCAGAAGTTTGAGGGTGGCACCAACCGAGCTGCTGGTGACACATCCTTTACAAGAAAGCAGTATGGGACACGTTCAAGGTGTCACCCTGGTTTCTCAGAGTCCCTGATGTACAGTGGCCACCTCCTTGTTCAGCCTCAAGAACTGCCAATTAGTTGTTAGGGTCTTTTTGGTTTTTGTTTTTTTAGATTCAATAATTTTATTATTGGTGTGCACGAGTGGTTTGCCTGCATGTTTATATGCGCACCATGTATAAACCTGGTGCTGAAAGAGGCAAAGAAAGGCATGGGATCCCCTAGGATTGGAGTTCTAGGATCCCCTAGGATTGGAGTTCTAGACAATTGTGACCCATTATCTGAGTACCGGGAACCAAACCCCAGTCCTCTGCAAGAGTGATCAATGATCTTAACCAGAGTCATCTCTCCAGGCTCCAGCTGTGAGGTTAGGGTTTTGTTTTTGTATATTTGCTTGTTTTGTTTTGGTTTGGCATTTGTTTTATTCGAGACAGGGTTTCTCTGTGTAACAGTCCTGGCTGGCCTGTAACTCACTTTAAAGACCAGGCTGATCTTGAGCTCACAGAGATCTAAGAGATCTATCTGCTTCTACCTCTTAAGAAATGGGATTAAAGGCATGTGCCACCACATCCAGCTTCTAGTTGTGAAATTTTAAACCAATTTCCTTAACACTGCTAGCTGGGTCTAAATATGCTCACCTATAAAATGAGGAAAAGGACATAGGATTTGTTTTCTTGGTTTATTGTCAAATTTAAATGATTTAAACAGTATCCTGGCTTGGTAAAGGTTATGTAAGTATTAATTACAATATAAGTTTAAAAAAAAAAGGACCAGAGGAAGGAAAGAAAAACATCAAAAAGTGGCTGAAAACAAAGCTCAGTGGTAGAGCTCCTGTCTACTCTGCCCAAATAACAACTTAAAGAAAAACCCTTCACGCTCACTACTAGTATTCTCATGATTACCTCTATTGATAGCGTGCATGCAGAAAGAAATTAGCAAAGTGGACCCGAACTCCTCCACATGGCAGGCCTGCTTGCAAGGTTGCCTTGGCTGGTGCCTGGGAACTTGGATTTTGCTGGGATTCCTTCCCGCCCTTGATGATAAGAGGCTGGCCTTGCCTCAACTATGCAAACAATATGGTTTATGCTGCACACCTGCTTTCCTCCAGGGAGTCTCAAATTGGCACCTGTGCCAAGCGGAGGCTGCTTGTGTGACCCGCCCCCTCCATAAAACCTCGGATGTTGCGTCTCTAATAAGTTCCCTGAGTGATAACATTTCAACCAGTTCTCACATGGAGAAGCCCTTGCTTGAGGTGTTATATGTGTCTGACTGTCCTGGGATAGCAGTCCCGGGACCCTGTGCCTGGGTCTGCCCAGAGGGCACGCTCTATTCTCTTTTCTATTGCTGAGTCTTGCAAACATTTGGTCTCTTGTTGTGAGCCCTCATCCTGACTAGGGTTGCCTGAGTGTCCTCTTAGGAAGTTCCCAAACCTGGGGGTGTTTCGGGGGCCCTCTCAATGCAATGTTGAATCAGTTACCTCTAAAAGAATGTTTTGAGGGTAGACAGCACATTATCCAACTCAACGTAGATAAATGAACTCAAAAGCATAGGGTCTGACGACAAATGTATTTTTAGGTGGGACAGTTGCTGGGGATCAGGGAATCAACCCTCCATACCCTCTCCCCACCTCTGCCACCTTATGCATGCTAGGCAAGCATTCTGTCACCCCCAACTCTTGGAAGAACTAGCCCTACATGAATAAAAGACACTGTTTGGGTGGAAGTTCCAGATTTGGGTGGAAATCAGATTTGGTCTGATTTGGATTATTGCGGCGGCGGAGAGGTTTATCAGGGTGCAGAAACTTTCCAGATACAGATGCCATCCAGCAGTGTTTTGCCATCAGCGGCCTTTCTCTAAATGATAAACACTTCACGAGCCTCCCGGACTTTAGAATCTAACCGCCTTGCACACACTGAAACAGAAAGCAGGACTAGCATTTAAATCATTTAGGTTATTATACACTAAAAGCTTCTGGTCCTGCCCCACCCGTATGTGACTTTCTTTTTTCTTCCCTCCGCAATAGACTCTTGTACAAGACAGGGTCTCACAGTGTAGCCCTGGCTGGCCTGGATGTCCTGTGTAGATCACACTCGCTTCACATTCATAAGTAACCACCTGAGTTCTGGGCTTAGGGTTGTGCACCACCACACCTGGTGGAAACAACCGACTTGTGTGCATTTTTTTCTTTCATTCAGTTTTCGCTCTGTTAGGGACTGCACGTAGGGCATCAGGCACACTAGCCAAGGGTTTGTACCACTGACCTAGACCCCCGGCTCCACCACGAGTAGACTTGGATGGCTTTTCTACATGCGTGAAGGGAAATGACATATTTAATCACAAATCCTGTGTGTTGTGGGAGTTCCGTGTCAATGTGCTGGATTAGGAATGTTCTGTTGTTTCTGCGTCTGTTTAAAGTGTACTCAATCAACAAGAATTACTTGAATACCTCCTTCGTGCCAAGCAGACTTGTGAACTTCTTTGATTGAACATGAATGCTGCAGCTCAGAAACATCCTCATTAGGGAAGCCTCTGGGAAATTCCGTTCTCCTCTGTGGAAGAGAATCAACGAACCACGTGTTTGGGGGATGTTGCATTGGGCCTCGTATCCTGTGTGCTAGATACAGGTCTTGCTTTCTGTCTCTTTGATAGAATGCAGCCTTCCTGGGGGGAGGGGACAGGGAAATCAACCTTCCCTTTTTACAAAGGTTAATAAAATGGTACTTGTTTGAGAACTCACTATGGAGCTCAGACTGTCCTGCCCCAGCCGGGAATTATAGCCATGAGCTACTATGCCCAAAATGGTACTTGTCTCCAGCTGGTTAAATTTAAAACACTGGAAAAAAATAAAATAAACAGTTTTGTGCAAGGCCTTTCAAATCTGGGCATGAGCATATTCTTCTGCGGGTGAGCTGATCATATTGGCATGTCACTCACAGGTCTGCAAGCATGTGTCTACCCTGGAGGGAACTGAGCCCTCCAGGCCTCCGTTACCCTTCTGGTTCTCATAACAGTGTGGTTCGCATTACTGCGGCTGCTGCTGGCCCCTTCTCCCTGAGTGCTGACAGGTTTCAAGGAAGGGCTGGGCCAAAACTGTTTCTCTTTTCTTCTTCAAGCTCTGAACTGAGACATTCCCTGACATCCCGGTGACTGGGCTTCTGAGGCCATTGGAAGCCTCTGTTATGCAGTTGGCAGAAACGACAGATAGTGAGTGCATCCAGCTGCAACAGGAAGCAACAGAGTAAGTCAAACCGGTATTTCCCTGTGAGCATGGGTGCCACTGCCTAGCCTACACCTGGTGTCCGGGTTGAAAGAGAGAAGTGCAGCCCCAGCGGCCAGGAGCACTCCCCTGCTCCTAGTTCTTTGACATCAAGGGACAGAAGGTCACTGGGTTGACTTAATTGGGGTTACTGTAAACTGGGGAGGAAAGCTGCTGAGTCTCCATGACGACCTGAAGTCTAGAGCCTGGTGCCAGCAGGAGGCCGCTGGAGGGTATGCTTCTCAGGAGGCTGCTTTTTCTCTCCTTGCTGACACCCTGACTCAACCTGGGGCTCATTGAGTCTGTCGTGCCTGTGTCATCACTTCCGCCATCTTATAGAAGAGAATTTCTGCTAGATATATGACCACACAGCTAGTAAAGACACTTCTGATGAAGTTCTGACCTGTGCAGTGTGGGCAGACACGATATGGACAACGTCTGGATCATTCTCTTGGTGCTTTCTGTTTGTTGTAAAAACAATTCAATGGGAAGCAGCCTGGCCTCAGCCTTGGGATGCTCTCACCCCACCTTCTGAGTGCCTAGATTACAGCCTGCTGCTATTACTTTTTTCAACAGACACAGGTAAACTCTTCTCCCCTGTGCTCTCCTTGGTCTTGGTGTGGCTGAGAAGCAGCAGATGAAGTCACTGCCTTTGACCTAGAGAGCCGGGAATGGAAGGTTGATTATGGCAACAATAGCACAGACATCTGGGCCTCAACTACACAGACCCAAGATGATTACTAACCCTGCTTAGACTGTTGGACTTCATTCACACTTTCCTATAAAAAGGAAACTGTTGTGCAGGATTAGTTAAAGATGTGTTACACTTGTATATGCTGTGGAACATTTGCTTAATGATGCAAAGATGTGTTATATTCTTCTATATTGCATGGGTTTAACTCTGTAAAGCTGTGCTACCTTTCCTGTGTAAAACACCTTATTGGTCTAAGAAAGAGCTGAACAGCCAATAGCAAGGCAGAAGAAAGGATAGACAGGGCCGGCAAGCAGAGAGAATAAATAGGAGGAGAAATCTAGAGCAAGGAACAAGAAGCAAGAAAAGAGAGAAGAATTCAAGGAGTCAGCCACCCGTGGAGTAAACAGGAAAGCAAGATATACAGAATAAAGAAAGGCAAACCACAGTTAAAGAGAAATGGGACAATTTAAGTTAGAAAAGCTGGCTAGAAACTGAAAAGTTTCTGCACCCCATAAACTTCCTCGCCGATGCAATAATCTGAAGCGGACTGAATTAGAAAAAGCCCAGGTTTAATGGTTACAAACGCTCCCGGAAGGCTTCCCAACCCCAACAGTGGAGATGAGAAAGAAGACCAGAAAACCACATGTTTGTTCCCTGGAGGGCAGTTAAAATCCTCCGTGAGAGTGGTCTTGAGCATCTCTGGGGAGGGATCATTATTTAGTGGGCTTTCTTGGGGGGCAGAGTCTGGATTGAGGCAACCCCATGGGAGGAGGCTTGGGGTGGAGCCTCCATCCAAACATTCCAGACTCTGGATACATGAATGCTGGGTGGAGTGACATTTCCACCCAAACAGAAACAAGTCAAGTTAGGCGGGCATTCAGAAGAAAGAATACATTTCTGCTTATTTACTGCAGGAAAGTTGCTGTCTTATTTGAGCTATTGTTATACTGAGCCTTTAAGAGAGTCTAAAACCTGGCGGGATGGTTCAGTGGGTAAAGCACTTGTTTCGTAAGCCCAAGGGCCCAAGCTCAATACTTGTTTCCAATGGAAAGGTGGAAGGAAGGAACCCGCCCCCCACATATGTGCTGAGGCATGCCCCTTTCCCACATGCCATACAAAAAAAAAAAAAGTAATGAATATTTTTTAAAAATCTTGAACCAAACTTGTAAATCTAGTTTTTTTTTCCTGTTTTTTGATATGGAAAATGATCCCCTTGTCACTTGTAAATTTACCACACCTCAGTGGAAGTAGCCATATGAGAATTTTCAGTTCTTCCACCCAGGAAATTGATTGGTCCATCTTTTGTCTTCTGCTCAGCTAAACTATGATGGGAGAGTCAAGGAATGCAAGCCTAGTTACTGGGCATCCCCAGGAAAGGACATTCCCAGAGGATGGTCATTTACTTTCCTGACCCAGGCTTATGCTCTGAGGTCAACCAAGCCTAGAGGCGTGTATACGGCACCTCAGAAAGATATAAATTCTATATGGAAGTAGATTAGCAGGACATACATGGCCACCAGCTGCCAACTCCTGGACTCACTTCAGTGGCAATCCTTAGGTCTGAAGTCACATTTGAACATCATTTGAAAGGACTATGGGTGAGATTCTAGGCACAGCCTGAGGTGAGATCCCTCTCCATCACCAGTGAGCCTGTAAAACCCAGTTGTCTTCATACTCTCAGAACAAAATGGCTAGATTCTCCCTTTCTGAAAGGGAGATAGGGAAAAGGAAGAGATGACAGGTCCCAAGCAAGCCCCAAACCTAATGGAATAAGCACTCCACATGCAGAAAGCTGAAGAATGGCCTCTTCAGATGTCACTGTCTGCCCTTTCTTCTCTGCTAGGACAGTGGTCCTGCCTCTGTGACCAACTGGGGTACTATTCCAATCTTCTAGATGGACCGGAAGCGCAGGTTTTCAATCGCAGCCTTCAAGCCTTCAAACCTGGAGTTTTAATAAGCAGCACTGGAACCTCCATGACTCTGAGAAAAGCGCATTTTTACCTTCCGATAGCGCTACAATCTCATCAATAATAGTCATAATTTTTAAAAAGGTCACAAAATTAGCTGGGCAGTGGTGGCACAGGTCTTTAATCCCAGCACTCAGGAGGCAAAGACAGGTGGATCTCTGTGAGTTCAAGGCCAGCCTGATCTACAGAGCTTCCAGGACAGGCTCCAAAGCTATAGAGAAATCCTGCTTCAAAAGAAAAAATAAACAAAAACAAATCAATCAATAAAAAGGCCACAAAATTGACTTCTTCCTCTTTCTTCTCCCCAACCTTCTTTCTTCTCCTTTTATTTGGTTTCTGAGACCAGGTCTTGCTAAGTAGTCCTTGTTGATCTAGGACTCACTAGGTAGACCAGGCCCACCCACAGTTTTCTTGCCTCTGCCTCACAGGTTCTGGGATTAGAAGTGTGTACCACCATATCTGTCTTGAGACGGGGCTTACTATGTAACCCAGGATGACTTTGAACTAATGATCTTTTTACCTCAGCCTCCCAAGTACTAGGACTGCAGGAATTAACTACCATGTCCAGCATGGCAGCATGCCTTGCTCTGCTCCTCCTTCCCCCTCCCTCCCCTGGTGTCATTCTGTTCAGTGCACAGCTGACCCTTAGAACACCAGTGTCCTTCTGGAACCTGGGCCGCGTCAGCTGGCCACACACTGAGAGAATGACCTCTTCGGAGCTTTCTCAATTTTTCACAGGGTGGGTAGGGTGAGAATTTTCTAAATCTTTTACATTCTAGTTCCCTTTGCTTAACAATTCTGACTTCAAGGAAGTTCTTTCTTCTCACGTTTGTATCCGGGACCTGAGCTCCTTCTCAACATTTGGCTTAGAAATCTATCCAGGTAAATGGCTAATTTCCCCTCCTCTCCACCTCCCCTGCCAAAAACAAACAAAAAACTATACAAACAACAACAACAACAAAAAACCTGCTAGAGCATAAACTTGGGCTCTCTGCTCAGCAAGAACTATCTTTTCCTACCCTGTCTGTTGGAGTCCTGGTCACGATGGCGTCACCGCCCACATGTTTACCAGCCATACTGGTTATAACTCTCTAAGACACTTAGCAGTTTTCTTCTTTCCTCTTGGAGTTCCCAGGAGACCTGATTTTAAAGTCCCTTCTCGGCAACCTGGGCTGCTGAGCCAGTCTCGTGGAGTCCAATTCCATAGCTTCGGCATCACCAAGTAAGTACACAGAACCACCGCACTTCTCAGCACCAAGCAACATAGTCACACACACGGGCCGCAAGAGCAAAATACCCGTATGCTGGGAAGTTCTCGCAAAGCTGCGAAGGCGCCAGCCCAGTGTCTGCTAAGGGTTCTCCTGTTTCTAGAATGTCGACCTCATAGCACAGAGAGAGCAAGCTGTACCACGCCAGGGTAGGTGCCGGGAGGAATCAAAGCGAGCAAACAATAGAGATGGCTCCACACCCGTGTTTATTGCGGCGCTATTCACAACAGCCGAGATAGGAGACAGTCACATAATGCGGTTTTATCTCACCATAAAGACTAATGAAAGCATGCCGTTTTCAGGAAAATGAATGAACCGGAGAACATCGTGTTAAGTAAAACAAGCCAGACTCAGAAAGACAAAATTACATGTTTTCTCTCATGAGTGACAAAAAGACATGTAAATAGAACGGGGGGGCCGTCTTAGGAGGCGGAAGAGGCCAGTTAGAGGGGCATGGGGAGGCAAACATAATCAAAGCATTAGATGTGTATGAAACTGTCATAATGAAACATAATGAAACATTAATTCTGTAAAATTAATATAAACCCATGTTGGAATACAGCCCAAGAATGAAGTTGTGTGAGAATTTTGTTCTGTTGTTGTTGTTTTTCTATTTTTTAAGACAGGGTCTCTCTGTGTAGCTTTGGAGCCTGTCCTGGAACTTGCTCTTGTAGACCAGGCTGGCCTTGAACTCACAGAGATCCACCTGCCTCTGCCTCCCGAATGCTAGGATTAAAGGTGTGAGTCACCACCACCCCAGCTGTTGTGTGAGAATTCTGAGTGCTTGTGAGAAAACTCCGAGAAAACAAGAGTCTTGAGCAATGCATGCCTTTCATTGGAGCACTCGGGAGGCAGAGGCAGGCGGATCTTCTGTGAGTTTGAGACCAGCCTGGCCTACAGAGTGAGTTCCAGGGCAGCCAGGGCTACACAGAGAAACCATGTCTTGAAAAGCAAAACAAAACAAAAACAACAACGAAAAACAAAGAACATCAAAAAGAGTCAAAACGCAGAATTGATGTTGGAACGTGTTTTCGTGCTCCTCCCCAGGTGTATCGGAAAGGAGTGAGCTCATTTCAGCTGTTGTTACTCATACGACTCTGTAGAAAAACCTGCTTTTGCCATGTGTGGCTTGTCCTTGTGACTGTACTCCTTACTCAGGTGACTCTTAACCCACAGAGTATAAAGTATGATGCACTGAGTGAAGCTGGCTATTATATGAGACTTTACTTCGCCTCATTTTTAGGCCCTGCCCTCCCAGGTTGATTTGGCCAAGCAGATCGGTAAACACCCATGTATATGTACACACACACACACACACACGCACACACACACACACAGGTGGGGAGGGAGAGGTAGAGAGAGGGAGAAAGAACAAACTAGCACTCCAACTTCATACAAGGACACTAATCCAATTCAAGAGCTCCGCCTCTATGACCAGTCACCTCCCAAAGGTGCCATCTTCTGGCGCCACCATGTTGTGGTTGTGATTCCAACATGAATGTGGGAGAAACACTAACAGTCAGTCCCTAACAGACAGACTAGAATAAGCTGCAGAGGGGCATGCTGGGGAATCTCCAGTCACAGTGTAACTGGAGAAAACGGTGGTGAACAGTTTAGTGAATGAGGGCAGGGGGTTCTCGGGGCTCATCACTCTCCCGCTCCCAGCAACCAAGCAGGATTTGGAAATGAATGGACTCTGGGGCCCCCTTCCCAACAGTGACCCTCTCAGGGTCGCCCTTTCTTCACTTTCATGTATCGAAAGAATAGAAGCACGGGGTTAAATTAGAATTCAGGAAACAAAATGGAAACAGTAAGCGCTGTGCACCAGCCTTTACTAAAGTTAAGCTTGAGAGTAGGGTGTGTGAGCTCATACTGTATTCCCAGCACCTGAGGTGGCTGAGGTGGGAGGATTGTTGCAAATTTGAGGCCAACGTGGGCTACAGAGTAAGACCGTGTCTTTAAAAAGTATTTATGTTTTGTGTCTGAGTGTTCTGCACGTACACCTACTTGCCAGAAGAGGGCATCGGATCCCATACAGACGGTTGTGAACCACCGAGTGGGTGCTGGGAATTGAACTTGGGTCCTCTGAAAGAGCAGCCAGTGCTCTTAACTGCTGAGCCATCTCTCCAGCCCCAAGACTGTGTCTTTAAAAAGTAAACAAAAAATTAAAACTCTAATAATAATTATTATTATTATTCTTTCAAGGACACATGCTTATTAAGTCCTTGCTTACTGCCAGGAATAAGAGACCCTCTGAGTTAAATAATTTAGTGGTCCCACAACTAATCATTCTCCTGGGTACAACTCTAAAAAGCAGGTACTGGGGAGAATTATCTTCTTTCTCCCACCCCCCCCTCTTCGTGTGTGTGTGTGTGTGTGTGTGTGTGTGTGTGTATGCATGTGCATATCCAGGCACATGTCCATGGAAACAGAGGATAACTTATAGGAGTCAGTTCTCTCCAGAGATTAAACTCAACTGTCAGTCTTGGGGGCACGCATCTTTACCTGCTAAGCCATCTCCCCAGCCCCTAAGGAGAATTCTTATCAATAACACATCCTCCCTTCCTTCTCCTCCAGCACCTCCTACTTCTTTGTTCCACAAATGGAAACACACTAGTCTCTAAATTCAAGCACATAGTCTGGTGACAAAGAGTGACTAGTCAATTATGATGCGCTGGATTCTAGGACTTGTTAAAAACCAAGTCATGAAGCCAGGTGTGGTGGTGAGCACCTTTGAGCCCAGCACTTGGGAGACAGAGGCAAGCGGATCTCTGTGAGTTCTAGGCTAGCCTGGTTGGTCTACAGAGCAAGTTCTAGAACAGCCAGGGCTATGGAGAGAGACCCTGTCTCAAACAAACAAAAAACTAAGTCATATAAAGCTAGCAGCAGCTACTGAACCAACATGGGCAGATGGGGACAGGAAAGGCTTCCTGGAGAAAATGACAGAGGAGACGGGGCTGGTGAACAGAAAGCCACACAGTGAACAGGAGAACATGGAAGAGCCCCCAGACGCAGATGTGTTGCGTGGTGGCTGAAGGCAGGTCACTGGAACACAGGTGAGAAACATGGCAACTACAGCTCATTTATTCCAGGCGGCCAGTGAGAAGGCCCAGGAGAGGAGGTCTTTGTAGTCTTGTCCATGATGGGGCCCACCAGGAATGCCAGCACTTGGGAACGAAGGTCAGAGGGGGGCTGTGAATTTGAGGCCAGTCGTAGTTACATAATAAGATCCTGTCTCAAAAACAAAGAGGGTGTTTAAAACTCTAAGATGTTTGGAGCTGTCCTCCAAGCACAGTTGAGTCCCCCACTGAAGGGACGAGGTTGGTTACGCAGCTGTCCTTGGGCACATGCAGATTTGGTTAAATACAAGACGTAAAAATTATGGCTGGAGGTGTAGCGCAGTTGGTGAAGTATTCGCCTAGCAGACACAAAACCTTAGTCAGAACATGGAGGCAGTCTGATAAGTTCAGGTCTAGCCTTGGCTACATAGCAAGGTGGAGGTCAGCTTCGAGTACACAGGACCCTGTCTCAAAGAAAGAAAGAAACCTCTTGAGTTTTCATAAATAGAAGTTTGGATAATAAATCCCCAGTAATGGAAGCCAAGCTTTTCAAGGCATGGATTTTGTCTTGTTTGTAGCTTACTTCTCAGAGTCCAGGACGGAGCCTGACACACAGGGAACACTTGACGGTCATTTGTTCAGTAAGTGGGGGAGCTAGCGGAAAAGAAGCATATATTCTAAGCGTGCTGTTTGCCGACCTTTGTCCATCCCTTTCGGGTTGGCCCTGATTACAACAGCATTTTTGGCTCACATCTGAAGCAGACAACAAGTTTTTTAAGTTGTATATTAACTAGGCTTTTCAATGGTTATGTAAATGAAAAAGCAGCCTTCAAGAAGTAGCACTGAAACTTTCATTGCAAAAGAATAGCTGAACAAAATTAATAGTCTTCTTGTTAGCCTTTTATTATTACTCTGACAAAAGACTGGAGGAAAGTCAATTTTGAAAGAGTGAACTAAACAAACCTTCCTTTCAATTTTCAGAGATGTAAACCTGCCACGGTCAGTTAGCCCACTGCCTTTGAGCCTGCGGCAAGCAGATACTTCAGGGCAAGAAGCATGTGGTGGAGCCGAGCCAAAACTGGTCCCTTCCTCCTGGCCAAGAAGCCAAGGAGAGAGAGAATGAGGCTAAGGTCCCAGGAGCGCCACTGGCCTTACTTCCTTCGTCTAGGCCCTCCTCAAAATTCCACTTCCCTGTAGCACCCCAGGCCTTGGGGACGTCTAACTGGGAATGATGGGACTGTTTGATTCTCTCCCATCTGCCTCACCTTGCAAACCAAACAGAGACAACTTGCAAAGGTCAGATGCATCGTCTGCAGAACACCCCACCGCTGCACATCTTCAACTCCAGGCTGCTCCCTTAACATCTGCCCTGCGATTCTCACTCTATCTAAAAAGGCTTAATAGGAATTGGCTCCAAAAATACTTGACTGATGTCAAGGGAAAAGAAATCATTTGAATAAAAATAATCATTTTCTAAAAATAATAAAATTTAGCTCTTTCTTCTTTCCACGGGGTTTTGCTATGTTGCCTAGGCTGGTTTTGCTTGGATTCCTGAACTCAAATGATCCTCCTGCCTCAGTCTCCCAAGTGGCGGAAACTATGTACTACCAAGGCCAACCAGGAGCTGCATTTCTTAAACTTCCCCTGCTCTGCCTGTTCATCTGTCTGCGCAGTCATGACAATGATTTCTCACTGTCCTGGAGGCTGGGAAGGAGCTGTGTGTTCTCAGGCTGACCCTCACACTGCAGGAGACAGAGAAGGGGCCAGCCTTCTCTGAAGCCTCCTAGCCTCCTTTATAAGATCCTTAATCTCATCCCAAGGGAGAGGCCCTCAAGACCTGGTGATTCCCTGCCGGTCCGATCTCTTGACACTAAGGCATTGCAGAGTAAGTTAGCGGACACAGTCAGACCATTGCAGAAAAGCTCGGGGAAACAGTCAGACCATTGCAGAAAAGCTAGGGGAAACAGTCAGACCATTGCAGACTAAGTTAGCAGTCACAGTCAGACCATTGCAGACTAACTTAGTAGACACAGTCAGACCATTGCACCATTCGTGAGATAGCAAAACCAGGCGATCAGAAGTGCATTTCAACAGCTGAAATTGATATTTTTCGGTAGGGGTGGAGGCTGGCAGGGAGTATTTGGAATAATGCCTGTAAATAACACCACCCTAGTTGAGACCTACAAGCAAAACATATTCAAATCCCTTTACAAAGAAATTTCCTTGAAAATGTTTTTTTGGGGAGGGGGAGGAAAAACTTTTTAGGTGAGGCCAATTTTTTCTTTTTCTAATCTATTATCACAATCCAAATAATTTAAAATGCAAAGTTGGAGAAAGAAATGGAAACGAATGTGGAGGCCAGTTCCGCGCTCACAAAAGGGAGTGGAAAAATTCTTTCCTATTATGCTGACCACATTCCTCTCCTAAAACATAAGCTCTCAGCTGAACCAGTATTATAATACAATAGGCGTGTTTTTATCCAGGATGGCTGGACAATGGGTCCACCTACTTCTTTTTCTCAGCACTGGGGTTGAAAGCAGGGCTTCCTACGTGCTGCGCAAGTGCTCCATGGTTGAGCTGCAAACAAGGTCCACTTTCTAATTCAGATAAAATTAAATTGCTTAGGCTGCCCTAGAACTGACACTCTAACCCAGGCAGGATGTGAACTTGGAATCCTGCTACCTCAGCCTCCCAAGCAGCTGGGAGGCCTGAATCACGTTCCTCGCCTACCTAATTTCAGTGTGGGACTGAGTTATCAGGTACACCACTCAAGACTTCATTTTTACACCTTAATGTCTAACTAATTTGGGCTTATTTTAATCCTTCTTTAATTCAGAAACACACACAGAGGGTTGTTTCGTTTTGTTTTGACCTCCTGTCTTCATTGTTACTGATAGTAGTCTGTTTCCTGTTGTAAAAATACATCTGATACTGCTTTAAATACAAGCTTGGGCTGGAATATAGCTCAAAAGTAGAGTGCTCGTCTAGCAAGGACAAGGCCCTGGTTTCAAGGTGCAGAGATGCATAAAATTAGACGTGGTCAGGAATGCCTGTAAACTTAGCGTTTCTCGGAGTTAGAGGCTGGAAGACCAGAAGCTCAAGGTCATCCTCAACTAGGTAGCAAGTTCAAGGCCAGCCTGGACTGTGCGAGGCTGTCTCGCAAACAGGAGCCATGTGCTCTTTAACTGGAAGTTTCGGAAGCTGAAAATACAAAATCTTACAACCCCTGGAGGGGACCCTTTAAGCAGAATTTCAGCATGGCAGATGGCATGGCAGGAGCATAGATGCACAGGGAGGGATCAAGCACACAGGCAGAGAGACTGGAAGCCTGAAACAGGGAGGAACCAGTACGGTCTTTCGTTTCAGAACAGCCCACTCTTGAGAGAACTAAGGTCCCAAGAGAACTGCATTAATCCTTTCTGAGGGCTAATGACCTAATCACTTCCCTCTCACTTGGTCCTACTTCTTTGTACATTCTCAGTTAGGGTTTCTATTGCTCTAAAGAGACACCATGACCACGGCAACACTTATAAGGAAAACATTTAACTGGGCTGGTTCACAGTTTCAGAAGTTTAGTCCATTAGCTTCTCAGTGGCGCGCAGGCAGATATGGTGCTGGAAAACGAGTAGGGAAGTCTACTTGATCAGCACAGGGAAGCGGACTGAGACACTGGGGTGTGACCTCCACGTAAATGAGCCGTCAAAGCCCGCCTCCACATTGACACGCTTCCTCCAACAAGGCCACGCCCACTGCCATAAAGCCACACCTCCTAGTAGTGCCACTCCCACGGGGCCATTCCTCCCCCCCCCCCCCAACTACCTTGGTGCATGTATATGTTTATGTGTGACTGCATATGTGTGCAGGAGCCAACCTCGGGTGACACTTGTGTTACCTTTGCATATCTCAGTTTAACGTGGAACTTGCTAAGCTGTTTGGTCCGATCCTTTCACCTCCCTAGTGCTAAGAAATCGGGTGCGCACCATTACACCCGGGTTTTTACCGGTTCTGGAGATGAGACTAGGTCCTTATGTTCTTACAATAAGCACTTTACCAGCGGGGTCGTCTGCCTCCCTCAGAAGAGTCTGCTAACACCCCTCTTCACTAGAGACCAAGCCTCTGGCCCATGGACCTTGGGACCATACCCTCCATCCATTCAAGCCATAACCTTACTTCTTTAAGGCCAAGCACCTCACAGCCTTCAGAGCCCTCTTGCTCTGTCTGACCTTTACCTGGCCCTCCTCCTCCTTCACCTTTCTGCTCCCACTCCCACCCCACTCAATGCAGCCAGCGAATTCTCTGCTTTTTTTTTGGGGGGGGGGGTGTTTCAAGCCCAACCTCTCCCAGGAATGTATCCTCCCTTTGTCTTATCAACAGTCACATCTCCATTGACAGTTCTTTCTTCCCCAGACCACTCTTCCACAGCACACACAGCCTCGAGGGCAATGTTAGCACTTGATAAGTACATTCCAAGGCGTCCTGGCCTGACTGAATCCTACACCCTGCTCCCTCCTAGATTGGAAGCCCTGAAAGATAAGATCTGTACCTCAAAAGTCACCATGGTACAGGGTCGACACTCAGCAAACAACAGCTAAATTCAATGAAATAGGTTCACCTGTAAGCTGCATTCTTTACCAGCTTTTCTCATATTTTTATTAGATATGAGAAATATATTTAATATTTAACTATTTAATAATAATTTTTAATACAAATAATTAAAGTTATTTGGGGTCTCAGATATAGCTAATCCCAAGCACTATCAAAAATTAAAACAAAAATTAAAAACAATATCTTTTACCAGGGCATGAGGTAGCGCCCTGGGGGATTAGGAGTTTGAGGTCATCCTTTGCTACACAGTCCATTCTGAGCTACGTGAGACCAAGACTCGGAAATAACGAAGTGGTCATGATTCCTGAGTCAGGCAGACCTGGACCCTAACCAGCATAGTTCCATACAGAGACAGTGAAGGGAACACGGAGGCTTTTATGAACTGTTTGCAGAAACAAGGCAAAGGAAACCTCTGATTGGTTAAATTGAAAACATCTGATTGGTTAAAACCTAATAAAAAGTTAGCTGCTGGTTTCTGATTGGCTAAACTGAAGTTCCCTTGCCATTTGGACAAGTTTTTATTTTAACAGCCTCCCAATTCACTATTATAGTGGTCATCACCTTGCTGAGAGGCAACCCAGGACCTTGCACCTGTTAGGCAGTGTTCCTACCACAGAGTTCAGCTCCTAGCCTGCAACTAATTATTCTAACAAGATGGATACTTATTAGCCTTGTCTGAAGTATTGGGGGATACACTGGTAGACAGAATGGCTCGTGCCCTCTTGATGCTTAGAATCTAATGTGAAGGAATATAAAGCTTGGGTTATCAGGGTCTTCAGTTTCCTATACGAATGCTTTAAAAATCATTGAATCAATCCAAGCATCTTCACTGCTAACAGGTAATTGTGTGTGCGTGCGAGTGTGTGTGTGTGTGTGCGCGCGCGCGCGCGCGTGCAAGCGCGTGCACGTGTGTGTTGGAGATGCAACTAAACATAATTATTTTAAGAAACAGGTGCCCAGCAACTTTGAACAGATCGAAGCTTCTCCCTTGCCACGGTGTTAAAGGAGTTGTTTCAGAAAGGTGTCTGGCTTTCATATTTCAGTGTAAACAAGTTTACAAAGGAATTAAACTGCATTAGTATTCTGATCCCTTCTTAAATCAAATTATCTAAGTCTTTGGTAAGCAGTAAAGACGGCTGGAATGTGGCACTGGAATGCAGGCCATTGCTTTTCTTTAGAAAATTTACTTGGCGGAGATTCTCGGTGTTTGCCCTATTCTTTATAGGCAGGAGTCTTTAAGCTACATCAAACTCAAGAACTTAAACGAACATAAAGAAACTGAAAAGGAGCAAGTGTGTGGGATGGGGTAAGGTGGACAGCCCAGAGGTTATGATCCTCAATGCCTGAGAATCAGTCAACATATCAGAATCTTTCTAAAACACACACTGAGCTGGACATGGTGAGGCATGTGTTTAATCCCAGAGCTCTGACCAGAGGCAACTGAATCTATGAGTTCAAGACCAACCTGATACAGGTGAAAGAGCTACACAGAGAAACCCTGTCTCTAAAACTAAAACAAACAAACAAACAAACAAAACACACTGTATACATGAGCACACTGTACACAAAACCATCACGGAAAGTGTCTCAGACCTCATTACCCGGCTCTCTTGCTCAATTTCAGACTGCTAAATCCAAAGGCACCGGTCCACACTTACCTAGAAGTCAACCATCTTTGATCTTGAATGACGATCAGTGAAATTGATGAAGTGTTAACATAAAACTAAAAAGGGATTAAAGGGAAGGAGGAGAATGGGGAGAGTCATCCAGAAGAGAGGAAAAGGAAGGAACACAGGAAAGAGAATAAGGAGAGGGGTGCGGTGAGAGGAGTGGGGG